TGTGTGTGTGTGTGTGTGTGTGTGTAAGGAGAGAATAAATTGTGAAGGCTCTTGGATCAACAGGCCCACCTTAGAAAAACAGCAAAGAAACCAGGGTGGACATGGGTCACTAATTCAAAAGGGGGAAAAATGTGTTAAAGTTAAAACACTTGCTTATTTGAATTTCTGAGATCTCCTGCTTTAATTAGTGCAGGCAGGATTGAGGCTCTACTGGACCAACCGGCTGCCTCACCACCACCCCTTACAGCTAATTTGTTCACGTCAGCTGTACGTCGGAAATCGCCATGTGAACGCATTAAGTAGGCAGTTAATAGGTGTTTCTAATTAAGGTCTGCTGCTTCTCTGTTCTTGTAGAGTTAAGTGTTTGACGCGCAGGCAGAAAAGAAAGCGGCCATAAATAGTAACAGATCAAACGCATGCTGGAAGATGACAGAAGCAGCAACACCCCACCACCACCCCGCTCCCCACCTCTACAGGAGGCAATCCTCTCAATTAACTTAATGATCAATGAATGTGTCTTACCTCGGGGCGCCGCGCGCTCCTTCATCATCTCCAATCCACTCCACCACCTCGAGCAGGTGGATCCGAAATCCAGGGACCCCACCACCCACCCACCCCTCTTCCCCGTTCAGTCTTATCACTCCAGTCAGTCCCAAGTTTGGGAGGTTAGAGGAAGATTGTGTCGTGGGCTCCTTGTGCGCCGCTTGCCGCTGTACGGCTATAAATACGCGGCGGGGTGGCTGGGAGCCAGAGCAGTGTGGAACACATGAGCGTAAACACGCATGGAGACAAGAGCGGAGCGTGGAAATAATCCCAGAGCATCTTCGCAAGCTCGCTGGCTGCCGAGCTATGAGTCACTTTCTGTGGATTTACAATCAGCGCGCCGCCGTGGCTTCAAACTTCACCCCCCCCCGCCTTTCCAAAAAAAATGAGACTTTTACATTTTTTTTACCCCTCCCTCGTCTTCCCAGAGGGAAAAAAAGAAATAAAGGGAGGTGGAGAGAGAGAGAGATGGGAGTTTACCTGTCCAGAAATCAGATGAGGGGGTCGATGATGCAACAGGTGCTGGTTTAAAACCCTGATCTGGTGGTTTGAGCTCAAACAGCAGCTGTGTGTGTACCACTAGATGGTGGACTAAAGCTGCTTACCTGAAAAAAAAAAATCAGCTCCAGGGTCATAAACCTACAAACACATACAAGCCCTGGCAAAAAGTATGGAATCACCAGTCTTGGATGAGCACTCAGACATTTCATTCTGTAAAACAAACTCAGRTCAAAAACATGATACAATAATAAGGTCATTCCAAAGTGCAACTTGTTGACTTTCAGGAACACTCAAAGAAATGAAGAGAAAACTTTGTGGAAGTCGGTGAATGTTACTTTTATTGACCAAGCACAGGGAAAAAAATGGAATCACTCGATTCTGAGGGAAAAAAATATGGAATCATGAAAAACAGACAAACAAAAGACCATTCAAAATACATCACTAGTATTTAGTTGCACCACCTTTGGCTTTTATAACAGCTTGCCGTCTCTGAGGCATGGACTTGATGAGTGACAAACAGTATTCTTCATCAATTTGGTGCCAACTCTCTTTGATGGCAGTTGCCAGATCAGCTTTGCAGGTCGAAGCCTTCTTGAGGACCATTTTTTTCAATTTCCACCACAGGTTTTCAATTGGGTTGAGATCTGGACAATGTGCAGGCCATGACATCGACTGAATGTGTCTTTTTCCAAGGAATGCCTTCACTGTTTTTGCCCTATGGCTGGTGCGTGTCATCTTGTAAAATTGTTTCATCACCTCCAAACATCTGTTCAATTGAAGGGATGAGAAAACTGTCCAAAATGTCAATGTAAACTTGTGCATTGATAGAAGAATGAACCACAGTCATCCCCCCAGTGCCTTTGCCTGCATGCAGCCCCATATCATCAAGGACTGTGGAAATTTGGTTGTTTTCTTCAGGCAGTCCTCTTCATAAATCTCACCGGAACGGCACCAAACAAACGTTCCAGCATCATCACCTTGTCCAATGCAGATTCTTGACTCATCACTGAGGATAACTTTCATCCAGTCATCCACAGTCCATGATAGCCTCTCCTTAACCCATTGCAGTCTTGTTCTTTTTTGTTTAGGTGTCAATGATGGTTTTCTTTTAGCTTTCCTGTATTGAAATCCCATTTCCTTTAGGCAGTTTCTTACGGTTCGGTCACATACATTGGYTCCAGCTTCCTCCTATTTATRYKTCAYCTGTTTAGTTGTACTTTTTCGTTTTTCAAGACAAATGGCCTTAAGTTGTTTGTCTTGACTCTTTGATGTCTTTCTTGATCTACCAGTGCACTTGGCTTTAACAACCATTCCATGCTGTTTGTATTTGGTCCATATCTTGGACACAGCTGACTGTGAACAGCCCACATCTTTAGCAACCATGTGTGAAGAGTTACCTTTTTCAAAAAGTTTCACAATCCTCTCTTTTGTTTCAAGAGATATTTCTCTTGTTGGGAGCCATGGTTCGTGCCACTCCACTTCGTCCAGAAGCCCTCCAAGGTGTCATGACTGCAGGTGTTTTTAACTGCAGTCTAATGAGCAGATCTAATCTGAGGCAGGTGTCCATTTACGGAAAGGAAATTGACTGGGTGTATCCTTATTTTCTACCTCCAATTTGAGTGATTCCATACTTTTTTCCTCAGAATTGAGTGATTCCATATTTTTCCCTGTGCTTGGTCAATAAAAGTAACATTCACTGACTTCCACAATGTTTTTCTTCATTTCTGAGTGTTCCTGAAAGCCAACAAATTGCACTTTGGAATGACCTTATTATTGTCTCATGTTTTTGATCTGAGTTTGTTTTACAGAATGAAACGTCTGAATGAGTGCTCATCCAAGACTGGTGATTCCATACTTTTTGCCAGGGGTTGTATGATCATTAAAGAGGTAAGAAGATGAATCATTAGTTTTAGAAAGACTTGCTTTTCATCAGTAATTACTGTGCTGATTAGAACACAGTTGATGATTTGACTGGATTATTCATAAATTAATCTTTATTATTATCGTTATTATTTATTATTATTATTAACAATCAGAAAAACAAGCAAAATATTAGTCTGACAAAAAACTGTGCAAACAGATACAAAGACTGTCTTGCTTGCTCATTAATGCATGACTCATAATAATCCAGTGACAAATATGGCTGTGACAGCCAAAATACTTTTGTTTTTTGTATTACTTTTGACACATTGTCTTTAATTATTCTAAATGCATTTTTGCAACGTTAGTGCCAAGTAAAGAAATAACTCCCACAGAAAACATTAGTTGACTTATTTTAATCAAATGATTGTATTTCTCTTTCTCAAAAGTGAAAAGGGGACTTTTTGGTTATATTATATCTTTGTACTCACCCATCTATCATCTTCATTTTAAAATCCACATTTAACATTTTAAATGACCTTTGTCTTGCTACACACACTTATTACTGTAGTGTTAATTACATGAAGAGTTTTGATTAAAGCAGAGCCATGATGGTCTGTGAAGTTAATTAAAAGGTCAGTCATGTTCACTTTATCCAATCCCTTTATTCCCCCGGCTGAGCGACGGTGGGACTTGGAGCAGTGGAGAAACCATCTGTCGCCTCCGACACATGGAGGGAAAATGAAGACTTCAAATCAACACATGCTCAGAAGCTCACCTGAATTTTTTTTCTGTCACAACAGCTTCCTTTTCTTTCTCTCTCTGAGGTTGGACGTCCATGTTTTTGTCTTAATCAAGACAGTGTTGTGCTTCTTTTGCCTGCATTTAAATGTGTTTAGACTGCAACTGTTGTCAGAAATTTTTCCAAGTTTTTTTTCTTTGCTTGTGTTTTTTGGGACATGAAGGCTGCTGTGATGCTGCAAATGTTCCAAAGCCGTATTGTGAGATTTAGACATGGATTTATGTAATCTAACAGAATCATCTCTGTGAGGAAATAATTGCAGCCTTACCCTCTGGGCTCTTGGCCAGGTGGATGCATRAAACGGAGATGCCAAGCAGACAAAGTGCTTCCACTGAAAAGAGAGAACATCAGGTGTGTGTACAGCCAGACCTTTTTTTTTCTTTTTTTTTTTTTTTTGCTGCAGGAGACAGTTTGTAGTAAATGGTTTAAAAATAAATTTGTTCTGGCATGAGAGACTGGCTTCAGGGTAAACATCAGCTCTGTTTTGTATGTTTGTTTCCTCACATTTTACAAACTCCCACATCCTTCCATGTTGTGATATTTTCTTTTATTTATCTTAAGGTGCTTTGGTTTAGCATTTTTGAAATATTTCTACATTTTTTAAAGGGAGACTAGTCTTTGTCGGCATAATTTATTTTAATAATGCATTTAGTGAGAATGAATGGGGTTTATGGTCAGTTCTCTTTACAACAATGTCCATGTCAGGTAAGTTTAATATTCATTACAGCCTGGATAAACAAAGGTATTTTGTTTCTAAATATTTAGTAGTAATACATTATTTAACACAGTATGTACCAGGTTTGTACCTAGTGCATACAGAGTATGTTGTGGAAATCTAATGGATACTTACAGACTATGTGTTTGCGTTCATAGTTCAAGCTATCACTTACAAGGTACTGAGAACTTACTAATATTATACATACCATTAATGCACTCAATACATACAAGTTCCAGCAGTTTACAGGCTGTACATATTTTGATGCTTTTTAAATCTGAATTTGTATTGTTTTTGTGTTTCCAGCTCGTGGCTTTAAGCTAATTTTTTTCATTTAGACAAATTTCAGAGTTGATTTTCATTAAAAAGCTCATGTTTGTTTTTATTTGACTTTTTTCATGATTCAAAATATTTATATTTCAACCAAATTTTGATTATAAAAGGTAAATGTTTCCATAAATGAAAAAAGTTGAGCGCTGAAGCGGCATGCTTTTTTATCTATTTTTGGTGTTTTATGATATGATCGATGTGTTTTAATGAAATGAATCACTTTCACATGTATTCTCACAACTAAAGCAGTTAACATAGTCATCAAGAGTCATTTTATTTTCTTTTTCTAAAATGCAAAGGACATAACAGGATTTGAGAATAAATCCAAGGTTAACTGCACAAAAATGTTTCACTGCAGGCGGTTATGTACAAGAATGAAATCAACATTTGTTGTTTTTTTTTTTTTGGTTGTTTTGTTTTTTTACAGAATTCAACAGCATCAATATTTAGAGTCAAGTTATTGAACTTAATAACGTAGATGAGACTGGACTCATTTGCACTGGATAGATTCTTAAACACAGCACAATTAATTTTACATTTCAGTGAACTTTATCTGCTGAATAAAAGTTCACAAATAGTGCATCAAAGACCACTGTTTTTTGACATGTTTTTGATATATACACATTTAAAAATGGAAACTAAGTGGCCTCGTAAACAGACCTGCTCACATGAACTCACAGGAGGAGAACAAACAACACAAATGTTCTCCATTTCAATCTGTCTCTTTACCCAAACATGCTACCCAGGAACACGTTGGCTAGTAATTACAATTTGATTGTACCATCATTGTATAACATTAGTGTTAGAATATTAAAGGAATAGTTCAGATCTTTTGAAGCGGAGTTCATTAGTGAACAGTTGTTACATTGTGCTGAAGAGAAGTTTCATAATGACCAGACTGATGAGTGTTTCAAGGCTAAAGTGGATCACTACAGTTTAAATACAACTCAAATCTGTAAAAATGCATGGCTTGTCATGCAAATGATACTTTGTAAAAAATTACACCATTTTCAGAGGGAAGTTGAATTAAATTGCTGGTCAGGAAATGGAAATTGTTTATAAAAGTTATGCCACTTAAAATTAATTACACAATTTTACAATTTATCAAACCAAAGAGAAATATTTTTCTCTTGAGTTGTTCAAACAGCGACAGTATCTGCAACAGGTAAGATACTGTTTTTAATCCTTTCCACAGACTCCCACTTGAAGAAATCTGAACTATTCCTTTAGGAATCAGTGATAATCCTTCAATCATCCTGCCTCGGGCACCAATAATAGTTGCCACAAACATCTGGCAGGTTTTCTGTCTCACAGATAAGTTGTAAAAAACACATCAGAGTCTGGGTGTACAATAATTAGGACATTAAGGTAAAATAGGAGCTGTGTGATTCCCCATTCAGTTGTGTCTTTTTACAGTGAGCTGTATTTGCTTGGACCCCAAATCCACCTGCGTCCAGGTGTTCTCCTCTTCCTCATTGAATCATGTCAGCTGTTTAAGAAAAAAAACTTCAGAAATATGTCTTTTTTTATGCCCAAATACGTTCCTTTTCAGAAAGAGACAACAAAAGTGTTCCATAAATGAACAACCCAGACAGAGAGTGATGAGTATTAACACAACAGCTGAATATTTATACACTTTGCAGCTCACCCAGCTCTTGTACAAACTGGATCTTGCTGTCTGTTGAAACAACACTGCTTGTTGCTGGAGTTACGCTGCTACTGAGTACAGGATACGATGGATATGACAAGCTTGAAGTCGGCTCAACACTATGCGTGCTATAGAAGAGAAGCCAAAAACACTCACAAACTCTTTCAATAAAATCAAACATGAAACCGACCGTTTCACCGATACGTGGGATAGATACACAATTATTTTTTTCCCTCCTTGATTCCTTCAGTAGAGAATAACGAAAGTGCTCTGATCGAACCTGTAAAAAAATAATTTATACACACCCCCGATGTTCAACTTGGAGGGTTTGTCACAAAATTGTTGACAAGTGTTTTGTTTATGGATGGTCCTCCCCCCAGTCGCTCTGCTGCTCCTCGTCCTCGCCTCCCATGGGTTGGATTAGTTGTCATTTGTTGAATGGAAGGCAGGCGGGCAGGATGACGGTGGAACAGGCCGGGCCGGCCAAAGGTTCTGCCACCTCTCCCTCCAGCTCTGTCCATGTTCCTTTCTCTGGGCTATAGCAGATGGTTGAAGACTTATAGGCCCCCTGAAGACGAAAGACATCAAAGAAGACCGACAGATGGAGGGATTATAAGACTACAGGGATTTCCCATATCTTCACACGGTGTAAAAAAAAAACAATCCCTACCATGCTCCAGCTGTAGCCCCCCACCAGGAAGATGCTGTCATCCAAAACAGCACAGCCCGGACCACTGCGACCCTCCAGTATCGGTGTCTGGAGGATGTTCCACTGGTCAGCTTTGGGGTCATAACACTCAACCAACATTACATCAAGGTGAGAAAAACCTGTTTGAGAAACAGGAAGAACATAAACCATGATTAAAAATCTTTGTCTTTTTGATTTTTTAGTTCTCTATCTGCTGGTTTTATGTGGTTGAGCCTGAAAGGACAGCATCAGTATCTCTGTGCACCAAAAGGGATGAAAAAACATCTGAATGAAGAGTCAGCTGGGGTGTTATTGGCTTTTCATGCCCAACTTCTGCCAATAAAACAAACTTGTGAAGACAAATGTCTGAAGAAAAATAAAATCTTACTACCTGACACAAGACCCTCTGGAAACCCAATAATGCTTTTACTAACAACACATGACCTCAAAACAGAAAAAACAGGCACAAAAATCACATCTACACTGTAAAAATGATTAATGAAAGATTATTTGAAGGGTTGAATTTCAATATGCTGGTAAATGTAATTTACAAAAATAAAAATTGTTCAATTTAAGCTACAATAATTATTTAATTTTCATAATAATTTGATTAAAACCTAGCCAAAGATCTTGGTTCTGTAATGTAATTTGCAGCAACATTTATCTTCTTTTTGGACAACGGTTCATTTGTCATCTGTGGCGTAGGTAACATTAAATCTACATTATCGTCAAAGAGGAATACAGATACCTTGGTGAAGATAGAACCTGTCACAAAACTTGTAGTCAGTAATATTCTTTTTGTGCAAGAAGTTCTGATGTTTTATTTTTATGCCTGATAACAAGGCCGTATATGTACATATATGTATATACACAAATTAACTTTTTATCTTTAGAAACCATGTTGCCTAATTAAAATAGTTATTATAATTTATTTGAAACAAGATACCAGATATTTGCTGACAGCAATGAGGAACACCTTCATGTTGACAAGCACCTGTGGAGTGAAGCAGTTTTAGGGGGGTCCAGGGGTATACTCCCTCTGAACATTTTGTAAAAAAAAAAAAAAAATCTAGTCAAACCAAACAAGCAGGGTGAGAAACCCACCTTCATAAACTTGAGTAACCAGGGGTTGTTCAACAGACGAAGTCATCTATGCTCAGATAAAAAGTTACTATATATTTTTTTTCTATTTTAGGGGTGCAAAAATACATGTACCCATATCGAACCGTTCAATACAGTGCCTTAGGTTCAACATACACTTGTATCGAACAATACACATTTTGTTTTTATTATTTTCTCAACTTGTCTTCTGAAGATGCTCTGTGTTGAGGGATCAGTTGATCTGTGTTCGACTACTCCACCTAGGCTGCATTTTCGAGCGCAGATCCACTAAGAAACTTGCTGTTTCAGCAACATTTAATTTAAAAACTGGACTTTTGAGGTTAAACAAATTAATTTCAATAAATTGCAAGTTAAAAAGGGCTTGGAAATTTATCTTTTTTGAATCGAAAAAATATTGAACCGTGAGACTAAAGTATCAAACCTAACTGAATTGTGACCTTTCTGTAT